AATGGCAGACATTTGTTGGAAATCGTGTTTTAGAAATTCTGAGCACACTCGATTCTAATCAATGGTCACATGTTCCATCCAGCCAGAATCCTGCTGATTGCGCATCGAGAGGGCTAAATCCGTCAGATTTTTTGAAAAATACTTTGTGGTTTTATGGTCCACCGCTTCTTCAGGAAAAGACAGTAAAATATTCTAAGCCAAAAAAACGATGAAACTCAGTTGGAAATAAGGATGGTTCACTTTACTGAAGTGAACCATCCTTATTTCTAACTATCAGCAGTTTACGCAGGTGGCAACACACCCAAAAGCTGATGCAACAATTTTGGCGACGATGGTCGCAAGAATATTTAAACCAGTTTTTACATAGGTACAGATGGTCTCAACAAACACCTGAACTGCAGTTAGGAGATATAGTGTTAATAAAAGAGAATGACTTACCCCCATGTAAATGGCTCCTTGGCCGTGTGATAGCTAAACATCCAGGAACTGATAACATTACGCGTGTAGTCACTTTGCGAACTAAAAATACAGTTATCAAGAGACCAGTATCCAAGCTCTCTATACTTCCAATTGATACAGGACCTTCTGCTAACCAATAAAATATTTAATGTACTTCCTAGCCCCTTATATCTATAAAATATATAAAATGTATCTATAAAATGTATTTTACTTGTAATGGATAAATTAGGTTACTTTGTTTTGTTTTTGTATTGTGGCATGGTGGGCGGTTTACTTTTATTGTTTTATTTACACATTAATGTTAATTAAGGACGATTCTGTTTATAGGGGATATTTAATATTTTATATATATATATATATATATATATATATATATATATATATATATATATATATATATATATATATATATATATATATATATTTTTTCATAATATTCTATTTGTGGGAACACCTATAAAGTTTGTAGCACAGTCACTCCACAAATCACTGAAATGTCCACGGCGGGAAGTAAATCATCGAAAAGCTGTGATAAAGGCAGCAGAGGATAAGTCACTCACTAATTCGAGGTGGCCTTCGTGACTGTGCAAACAAACAGACATATATAAGCTTTACAAGATTTTTTTACATCTACAAGGGTACAATTTTAAAATATGTGGGCCAGCGTAATCCACCCAACTACAGCGGAAAGGTATACCTGGAGTAGTACGCGGAGAAGGTAGTTGACCCATGTTAGCTATCGTGGGTAAATCTTTGTATCAGAGAGCACGAGGGATCTGTTACAGTAAACACATGGCTGCCAAGCTCCACCATGTCAAGCAAGTTTTGCATGACAACAAGCTTCGGGTCCCGCGCCTACGTCACAGTGAACGAGTGAAGCCGGCCACAGTCGAGCGTGTACCTGCTGTACTGCCATATGTTAGAGGAGTCACTGACAAGATTGGCTACATCTTGAAGCGCGCTTGCATTCAAACATACTTCAAGCCGCCGAAGAAGATTGGTCAGTTTTTACCATCAGTCAAGTGTAAAGTTCCTCTGCAAGATGGAGGATTATACAAGCTTGATTGTGAGTATGGTCTCTCCTACATAGGACAAACTAAAAGACCAATTAAAACCCGCGTTAAAGAAGCTGATGTGAAGAATCGACGCTCCGGGAAGTTTGCAGTCTGTGAACACGTACAGGATCGCCCCCGTCACTACATCAAATTTGATAGACCACAAATCCTGGCTAAAGAACACCGATTCCTTCCAAGGATGATTCGCGAGGCTATTGAAATCAAAAAACATCCTAATTTTAATAGAGAAGATGGCTGGGTGCTACCATCTGCTTGGGATCCTATAATAAATAAAATTAAATCCCAACCCAAGCATACAACTGCAAGACTTCAAGATACCGTAAGTTCATACTGTGTAGATCGGAACAAAAGTTAAATTTTTAATCTATGGTAACCGCTGTTAACTATGACATTTGGACGTTGAACATCTCAGTCCCCCCCCCCCGTGACCATGGGTGCTGTAAAACGCTCGAAACGTCGGGTATTTATAGTTAAACATACGCGATAAAATCCGTAAAAACTAGTATTATTTCAATAGTTGATCCATCAATTGACTAATCGGTGCAGTGGAATGTTTAAAGCAAGTGAGACATTGTCGAATAAGTTTTTAATCAAATTTTTGCCCCGATTATCCAATACTTGTTACGAACGATATTTAGTGTAAGTTGAGGACCTCCGTGTAATTTTTTTTTTTTTTTTTTTTTTTTTTTTTGGGCTTTTTTTTTTTTTTTTGTTGCTTTTTTTTTTTTTTTTTTAATTTTTTTTTTTTTTTTTTTTTTTTTTTTTTTTTTTTGTTGGTGTGGGGGGGGTTTTTTGGTTTGGTCCTTTTTTTTTTTTTATTTTTTTCTTCTTTTTTTTTTTTTTTTTCTAAGCCAAGACAGAACAATAGTGGAATCATTCCAAGCATATATAGATTCATCATTAATTTTAAGACTTACTTACATTAAATACTTACATCTTTGATCAGTTTAGCTAATAGGACTGCTCCACACAGTTCCAACCGTGGCAAAGAAACTTGTCCCACGGGTGCAACCTTTGTTTTTGCAGTGATAATTGAGACAAATACATTTTGTTTAGTTAAAACTCTCAAGTATAAAACAGCTGCATAAGCTAAACAAGAAGTGTCACTGAAACCATGAACTTCAAACCGTTCTGAACCATCAAAAGTAGTATGCATCCATCGTTCTAAGTTTATTTTACCCATTTACGACTCATTTCTGTAACTAACCCATTCACTTGCAAGTTCTTTTGGAAGTTCATCAGTCCAGCTAACACCGCTTAACCATAATTTTTGCAAAAATATTTTTGCAGTTATTATAACAGGTCCCAAAAATCATAATGGGTCAAACATCTTGCTATATCTGATAATACTGTAGTTTTAGTGAATGGTTTTTTCTGTGTAGTAATATCAATTTTTAGTTCTTAAACATCTTTGAGCATATTCCATTGTATTCCAAGAGCTTTGATAGTATTATCCATCGTTATTTCAACACTTTCATTAGTAACTTTATAGGAACTTGGAATTTCTTTTAAAACTGCAGCACTATTAGATGCCCATTTATGCATTTCAAATTTACCTTTAAACATGACTTGAGTAATTCTCCTCTGTAGACTCTTCGCCTGTTCCTCGTCATTCGCACCAGTTAGTAAGTCGTCCATATAGAAATCATTACTAATAACATCACCTAAATCTGGAAAACTCTGTTGTTTATCTTGTGCTAGTTGTTTAAGAGTACGAATGGCTAGAAACAGAGCACAAGAAGTGCCATATGTAACTGTAAGTAACCGTTTTTCTACAATCTTGCCTACAGGTGACGTATGCCAAAGAATACGCTCATAGTCAGTGTCTTCTTTCGCAACTAATATTTGCCTATACATTTGTTTTATGTCAGCTAATAAACAGATTTTGTGAGTACGCCAACGAATAATTAAATCTCTTAAGTCTTGTTGTAAGGGTGGAGCTATCAGTAACTCATCATTTAATGCTGTTCCATTAGATGGTTTTGCTGTGCCATCAAAGACCACTCTTAGTTTAGTAGTAGTGCTGAGGTGGCAAAGTGCGTGCATTGTCAGGCTTTTAAAATGGAGTAAATTTGTTTATAGAAGTGGTATCGGATGGATTATCCCAGCCGGGCAAGGATTCACGCTTGCACAGAATATCAACGTGAAATGGAAGCGTAATTAAGATTTGCTTCGCACGCTGATTGACGAGAACTAGAGCTCATTTTCACTGGCAACGGGACATTCGTTCTTAGTCCTGGGGCTAAAGTACAATGCAATGGAAGGACAACACACTCAAACTTTGATTCTTAATCGAAGATAGATGTAGGTGCACTGGGCCAAAGCATTCATCCGTTATGTGGTCTGTGTGGCGGTTTATTACATTCACTTCTATATACAACTGGTTCGGGAGAAACCACTGTTACTTATAATATTTAGTTACATTTGACACTAACACATTTAAAATATATCTTTTAAACCATAAACTTATCTCACAGAGGTCGTGGGATCCTAATCAAATATATTATGTATTTAACTAAGTGAAATAGAAGCTGAGCAATTTTTTCTAATAACATTTTTATTATAGAATTTAATAGGTAATATACATTTATAATAATAATAAATATAACCTTATTGAAGCCATAGAAATTTACAAAAAAATAATCTGAAAAGCGGTTAACTGCTAGACTAACCCTGAAACTTCCCGCTTTTTTCGAGTTTTAAATGCTCGAAAATTTTCCAATTGGTTGATTTATGAGTTGTTCAAGCTCAAAAATTCAAAAGTTATATCAATTATTAAGATTACTTAGATATATTTAAATGGCTATACTCGTAACTTTTGAATACCTCGTTCGATTTTGATTTACGTGGCGTCAATCGACGCAGTTTTTAAGTGCAAAAATTGTTTGTCAGGTCTAGTCTACAGATCGAAGACTTAAAAAGTTAAGTAAAAAAAGCAATTATTTAGAAAATTTCATATATATATATATATACTTATTTATTAATATATATATATATATATATATATATATATATATATATATAGTAATAACAGAAATACTTATTAAAGGTCATTTTTGATTTTAACACTGATTCTGAAAAAAAATTCTATCTTGGTAAGAACTAGCAAGAAACCATGCAGGACTTTTGGTTTAAACATTAATTTACAAATTTTATACAATGAAATATAAAAACATTCAAAAACAGCATGGTTTGTACTCAGTAGTTGTTTAATAACCCTTATTAAACAACGTTTGCTTTTTTAACTTTTTGATAGATACATCCTACATATCTTGAATGAGGTCACTCCGCTCCGCGCTCTTCTGCAATCCGGACGTGTGTCAGTCAGTGCATTCGTGTTTGCTCCGATCGCCTAGTGACTCATTGTGTACATACGATTACGAATAGTGTTGGCACACTTCGGCTACTTATTGCACAGAGCAATATATATACAGAGAAAGCAGTCACTGTTACTAACTTATTGTCATGTCTCTTAATAACACTCGCACCAAACAAAACAGTCCTACCCGGTATTCTAATAGATCTCCTTGTGGTGAAATAAGTATAGACAGTTCTCTGATAGAAAAAGAATCTCCGCCTGACTACGTGACGTTCCGTAAAGGTGTAGCTGATCAAAATGTGTTGGATCTACGCAATGAATTTCATTCTTTCCAAGAGAAGATAATGGCATCAATGAAGGAGTTCTTCGACAAACAGAATAATAAAATAACCAAGTTCATTGAAGATTCCGAAGACTTGAGACTTCAATCCAATTTATTAATGACAAATACGACGAACTAAAAAGGATCCGCAGTCGATTATTTGAATTAGAAAAAATATATAAATCGTCCCAAAACAAAGACGATCTGATTTTGGAGGTAGGAAACAAGCTTGATATTTTAGAGCTTAATTCACGCCAGTGCAACATTGAAATTGTTAATCTTCCAGAAAAACGAAATGAAAATTTAATTTCGATTTTAGAAAACGTAGCTGCTGTCATCAAACAACCAATTAATAAATACGACGTCGTCGCAATTCATCGTGTACCTCAGTTTAATCCTAAAAGTGGGCGCCCTAAGAATGTTATTGTTAAGTTTGCGAGTCAGATGTTACGCGATAGCTTTCTTTCAGCAGCTCGCAAAGAGAAAAGTTTAACAACAGAAAAACTGCAAATGCCCGGAACTATACACAAGTTATATTTTAATGAGCACCTGACTTTAAAAAGAAAATTTTTATTTCCTGAGGTTCGGGAAACTGCTAAGAAGAATGGTTTCAGATACACTTGGATTAAGCACGGCAGCATCTTGGTGCGTGCAAACGATACTTTTCCTGTTCTCAGCATTCGTTCTAGTGAAGATCTTTCAAAAATCAAATCGAAGAATTGTCCAGTTAGCTAATTTTTACTGCTACTTGTACACAGCTGAAACTAGTATTTCATTTCCATTTGCATTGACCTGTTATCTCGAAGAAGTTATTCAAAGGTATTTATCAAAAAGTATTATATTATTTAGTGCCATCTCTAAACATTTCATTACACTGTGTTGTTTATACTTCTTTGCCTTGCGCTATGAATTATTATTTTTCTACCGTCTATTTGTTTGTTACTCAAATAATTTACTTACGATATTTTACAAACAATATTCTATTTTAAAAATACTTTGTTGTCAAATTAACAGCAATAATTATAATACTCGTATGTATGTTGTAAAGCGTATTAAGCTTATTTGCAAGTTACACTGTCTAACATACCTAACGAGCGTTATTAATTTATTATTTTTGTTTGTTGAACACACTTTAATACTATTAAGCAATATTTGTTATTTTCGCTTACTTATAATGAAAACTAAAATTTATTTCTTTTACTGGAATTTACATAATACATGATGAGATTTACAAATACGAAACACAAAATTATGAAATACGATTTCATTGCGTAATAAATATAACTGTTAATTTACTTCTAATAATGTATTTGCACACTTTGATTGGAAATAATACTGTAAAATTTTTGTAATTTAACAGGTATTATACACAATTGGCCATATTTTTTCTTGTTGAATTGGAAAAGAATAGAATGCATTAGTCTCAGTATGTCTGTTACTTTATTTATACTCGTATTTTTCTACTCTTTTATTTTTGTTTCTTTCTCTTTTTAATAGTGTAAGTAATACTTATGTATTAAAAAAACAAAGATGATGACTGATCGTTTTACAATATATTACCAAAACTGCAGGGGCTTAAGAACCAAACTAAATACTCTGTATACAAATATATTATCAGATAGTTATGATTTTATTATATTAAGTGAAAAGTGGTTACTTCCGAATATTCGAGACAGGGAATTGATAGATGATAGATATGTAGTACATCGTTGCGACCGAGACCGAGTCTTGACAGGTAAACGGGACGGCGGTGAAGTTTTGATTGCAGTGCGTCGAGGGTTGCCCATTGCTCGGTACGAACTAATAGGTTCACACGACTATCCTATTTCACCTTGTATTGATTATGTATTTCTCAGTCTTAATAGTCAAAAGGGTCATAGTACTATTATCTGCGGTATCTATATTCCGCCTAATATGAACGCTTTAACTTATGAATTTTTTTTAACATCCTTATGTAACAAAATTATGGAAATTAACTATCAGCACGTGTACGTTGTTGGTGATTTCAATCTTCCCAATCTAAAATGGCTGGGCAGTGATCAAACGGTATCAAATATAACATCTACATCTTCTTACCCCAACCTTACCAGTAATGACAAATCACTGCTTAATTTTATATCATCATTAAACTTCAAACAATTAAACACCAGTAGAAACCCCTTGGGCCGAATTTTAGACTTGTTTTTATCTAACGACGATAATTATGTTTGTGAGCTGCCTTCAAACCCATTACTGCCATTGGATCGTCTATATCCAGCTTTCTACACGGTTATATCTCTAAGCCACACGTATAAATGTATGGCTCACTCGTCTATTCAGAGGTGGATATGGAGATATTTAGAAGCAAACTATCTCACCATTTGTAAATCAACCTCTGAGATCAATTGGTATTCTCTTATGAAAGGGCTAACTGCTGAAGAGTCAGTTAATATATTTTATGAAAAAATCTATGAAATTATAAAAATATATGTACCGCTTCGTTCATCAAAAAGTAATAACTTTCGAGTTTGGTTTTCTCGACCCCTCATTCACGTTTTTAAAGAAAAAGAAAAATATTGAATAAGGTGGAAAAAATATAATAACAAAGCGGATTATTCCCAGTTTTCATTGCTTCGACACAGATTTAAGACACTGTGTGCTGATTGCTTCAATACTTACATTAATTCCATCGAAGAAGGACTTAAAAAGGACATTAAATTATTTTGGTCCTAACGCGGAATACCTAACGTAATGACTTATAAAAATAAAAAATCTGATACACCAGAGGGTATCTGTGAATTATTTTCTGAATTTTTCAGCTCCGTATATGAAAATAGACAGCAGTTACAGCAAGAGAATTATAGTAGCCAGTCTACTAATCCCAATTCTGAGGTTATTTCAAATATCTCCTTTTCGGAGGATAGCATAGTCAAAGAGCTTATATTACTCGATATTACCAAGCGACCTGGACCTGACAGCCATTCACCATTTTTTCTCAAACACTCTGCCGCAGCTATTAGTGTTCCCTTGTGTCTTATATTTAACCAATGTCTTAGTGAAGGGACTGTGCCCCAGATATGGAAGAACGCTAATATAACTCCAGTTTATAAGAGTGGGTGCAAAAACGACGTTTCTAACTACTACTACTTATACTTTGCTATCTACCATACCAAAGGTTCTTGAGAGGTTAATACATAAGCAAATTTATCCTATATTACATAACATAATTATACCTGAACAACATGGATTTGTAAAACAGCGATCAACAACAACTAACCTTGTTCTTTATACAAATTATCTTTTTCGCTGCATGGATTACCGTCTGCAAGTAGATGCAATTTACACTGATTTCTCTAAGGCCTTTGATAAGGTTGATCATAATATACTTTTAGAGAAATTAGCGTTTAATGGAATACGAGGAAACTTGTTAAGATGGTTTTCATCATACGTTCTAAACAGATCTCAACGGGTTGTGATTAATGGTTTCTCATCCAATATCATAAATATCAGCTCAGGCGTACCGCAAGGTTCTATTCTTGAGCCTTTGCTTTTTATATTATTTGTGAACGATATCGGTGATTGTTTCCGGTTTACTTTTCTCCTTTACGGATCACCTTAAAATTTATCACAGTGTCAAAAGTGTCGAAGATTGTAACAAAATACAACAAGACCTAAATCGCTTGGAAGGCTACTGTATAAATAATAAACTTCACTTAAGTACATCAAAATGCAAACTTATCACTTTCACAAAAAAAAATTAACATTATTAAATACACTTATAAACTTAACTCTGTTTCGTTGGAATCAGTATCTTTAATCAGGGATCTAGGATTGTATTTGGACTCTAAACTACACTTTGATGAACACGTAACGCACATAACCAATAAAGCCTTTCAGCTTTATGGTTTTGTTATGCGGACATGTTCTTCCTTCAAACATCCCACCACATTTTTAACTTTATATAAATCTCTAATAAGATCATAGGTTGAATATGCATCAGTTATATGGAGTCCAATATATAGTAAATATAGTTTACAGTTGGAGCGTGTTCAACGAAAGTTTTTAAAATCTACAATGTACAAATGCTTTAAAAATAATTATAATGAATGTTATGAACTTTTATTAAGAAAATTTAGTGTTCTTTCTTTAGAATCGAGAAGGATGCTCTTGGATCAAACTTTGCTTTACAAAATCTGCCATAACAAATTTGATTGTAATGAACTTCTACATTCGTATACCTAGACGCTCGAATCGTATACGTGAGCTCCATTCTCATCAAATTTTCGCTCCAAAACCAAGTAAAACAAATGCAGGTGCACGTGCACCTCTAAATCGTATAATGGAATTATACATTACATATACATATATTTGGATCGCCTATAACCTCAGCATCTGTTCCATTAGATGGTAAAAAATTGCTGCTAGAAATATCAAGAAAAGTGGAGTGCGCTATTCAACGTCAATTGAGCCAGTTTGCAGAGTCTTTGGAATTCAATTCTAGAAAACTTGATGATATACTCGAAACCGTAGACGCATTTAAAACTACAGTCAAAGAAATAAAAAAGAAGAATATCGAATTATCTAACCAAAATAAAAACTTAGTATACAGAATAAGTGCATTAGAACAGCGCTTACAAGAACAAGAACAGCAACAGCTTATTAAAACAATTGATATTTTTAATATCCCATTCACTGACAACGAAGATCTTTTAAACGTCGTGCAAAAAATACAACAAAAACTTGAATTAGAAGAAAACATTATAGAAGTAAAGCGCTTTGGTTACAATAGAAATAATTCCGGAAAACTACGTGTGGTTCTACCGTCAGAAACTGCTAAAACAAAATGGCTTACAAAAGCAAAGGATACAAAGGTCATGGTGAAGGATATCTTACCTAGCGCATCACCGTTGACTGGTAAAGAAACCATCTACATAAGTGAGGCATTAACCATATACAATAAGACCTTACTTGGAAATGCCAGAAGAGAACTTAAAAACAGCGGAGTATACAAATATGTGTGGTGCAAGAATGGAGTTATTAGAGCAAGAAAAAGTGAAAAAGATCAATCGTTCATAATTAGAACTGATGATGACATTAAAGCCTTACTACAAAAGGAAGTCCATGTACAGCCGCAATAAATTATCCTATATAGGTACTTTATTTCAAAAAATATATCAAAAAAGTTTTTTTTTGTTCTTTATTATTTCTTTTTTTAATGGACGTACAGTTAGACGATATTTGTGAATTGAGTAATTGTACTAACATAAATTCATTTCTAAATCATATTCCTGTTAAAAATTGTCAAACTAACCTACTATGCATGCACATAAATATAAGGTCCTTGATTAAAAACTTTGATGCTTTAGAACAATGTGTGTACTCATCTAACGCATGTATAGATATTATATTGGTAACGGAAGCTAATATATCTGACTACCTAAGTGATATGTTTAACCTACCGGACTATAACATGCATACAGTGCTGCGTAAAAACCGAAGGGGTGGCGGTATAATAGCATATATACACAAGAAGAATAAATTTACAATAATTAGTAACTTATTAACAAAACATTTTGAACATATATTATTTCAAATTTGCACTCCATCTTTTTACACGGCAACTGTATGTGCAATTTATCGCCCTCCTAATCTAAGCAAAAACTTATTCATCGACGAACTTCGCACTTTGATGGGTAGGGTGGACACAAATTCTGAACTATTTATCCTCGGAGATATGAATATAGACTTGCAAACATATACTCCTATAAGACATAAATACAACTGCATGCTACATAACTACGGCCTTGAGTGCGAGATATCGCAGTACACTAGAATTGAATTAATTGAAGATAGAATAACTAAATCCTGTATTGATCATGTGTACGCGAGATCACGCAAACAAGATGTTTACACCGCGGCGCTTGGTTTAATGCTAGCGGACCACCGAGCGGTAATGCTTGCCTGTGTGGAACAAATACATGCGCGTATACAGGATGAAACTACTTATAAAAATATATATAATAATGAAAAATTAAAACTTTAATTGAATAATATTAACTGGAAGAAAGTTGATGATATGGTCTGTCCAGATACTATATTACAGTATATATATGAAAATATAAATAAATGCTACAACAACGCGACAATTACATCAAAAATGAAAAACACCAGTAACAAACATACCGAAAATAAATGGATAACTTCACGTATTATCAAAGCTTGCGAGTATAGAGATAAACTATTTTACCAATGGATAAAAGATAATAATAATAAAATTTTAAAAACACAATATAATAAAGCGCGAAACTATGCAAATAAGTTAATTAGATCCTGCAAAAATACATACATTTATAATGAAATACATAAATATAAAGATAATTTAAAACAACTCTGGTTTATTCTTAACAGAATAACAGGTAGGGTGCGTAAGACAGTGGATACAGTACTCTTAAATGCGTTTGGGGGCACAAACAAAAATACAAATATAATTGCAAATAACTTTGCGAATAAATTTCATAGTGGCGTTCAAAACATAATACCTCAATGTAAAAATAATATTTTAGATAAAATAGAATACAGACAACCAGTTAACGTAACAATGAATTTTCAAAAAGCGACACCTAAAGAGATCCTTAAAATTATAAAAACAATAAACGTTAACAAAGCTCCGGGTCTTGACAGAATTCGGGCGATAGATATAAAACGAATTTGCGAAGAAATTGCTCCGGCTATTGCAAAACTGGTAAATGTCTGCATAAAGACTAATAAATATCCTGACGAATTGAAAACTGGAATTGTGAGACCTATATACAAAAAGGGATGCAAACAGGATTATAATAATTACCGTCCTATAACTATATTACCTACGATAGATAAGATTATAGAAAAACACATAGCTAATCAAATTTACAACTTTTATGGGCTAAATAACATTCTTAATGACACACAGTTTGGGTTTCAACCTAAAAAAAGCACAACGCAACTACTTTCACTATTTACTAATAACGTATATGAAAATCTTAATGAGATAAAACATGTGTTGCTGTTATTTATCGACTATAGCAGGGCATTCGATACTTTACGCCATGATGTATTACTAGAGCGACTAGATGACTGTGGAATCAGAGGGCCGATTCTTGACTGGTGTCAGGACTATCTCAAAAATCGTTGTTACTATGTCAAGGTAGGGGATGCTTTAAGTAATAAAGTTTTGGTGAGTGAAGGAACAGCACAGGGTTCTGTATTAGGACCGCTACACTACATCACTTACGTGAATAATATCAACAATGTGGTTAACAACTGTAAAATCTTCCAATTTGCTGACGATACCTGTCTATTAGCAGCCCACCACAATATGGATAAGGCGGTAAAACTGTTACAGGAGGATTTTACGAGGCTCATGCAGTGGTCACACGACGCAGGTCTTGTACTTAATTCGAATAAGACTAAAATAATGTACGTGAGCTCGAGTCAAAATAGATTAAAACATGACATTAATCTTATAGCTCATAATCATACATGTCTTCATAATATCCAAAGTTCAACCCATAATAATAATTGTGAATGTCCCCAGATTGAAGTGGTAGAAAAATGTAGATATTTAGGTTTAATAGTCGATGACCGTATGAAATGCACTTATCACATTGAATCTGTATGTGATAAGCTACGAGCGATCTTAGCAAAATTTTACCTCATCAAGAGTAAAGTACCTTACCACATATTAATGTTACTATATAAAGCACTCGGCGAATCAATAGTTTCGTATGGGTTAAGCAGTTATGGACGCACGTATAAAACCCACCTTGAAAAAATATACGAGCTACAATTGCGCATTCTTAAATGTATCATCCCTCTCAAAATCAAAGATAAATTTAAAAAAAATCCTTATGGTCTCTTTCATCATTGCAATATACTACCAGTACACGAAAGGGTGAAATACCAACTATTGCTTGAAAATTATAGCAAGGAAGAACTAAAAATTAGCCCTATCTATACAAAGCTTACACGACAAGCCCTTAATCCGTATATGACGATACCAAAATATAAAAATATGTATGGAAAATTTAGGTTACAATATCAAGTTCCTGCTCTTTTAAACCAAATTCCAAAAGCAATAAAAAATGAACTAACTAAGAAAAATATTAAATATAAGCTTAAACAGTATTATATAGACAAATTGATAACGACACCTACTAATAATTTATACTAAAAAAAAACTATACTAACACACATAATATACATAAATACAAATCTACTAATAAATATATACATAGATACACACAATCGTAACATTAATATCTCGATTACTAATATTATTTATCAAACTCACTAACTGTCCTTTCCTGTGATACACATATAGTTAAAAAAAATATTGTCGTAATATTGTCACACCATGTATTATGTAAGTTGTCGCTACGCGAACCGATTGAACATGGTCGAAGTTACGAATCGGCGGTACATGGAAAAACTTTTGTAAGTTTATTTGTACTGTCGGATGTTATTTAATAACTATATTTTGTAAAAATAAATAAATAAAATAAATAAATACAACAACAAATTTAATGACATAGATATCTTTGGATTAACTTCTTCTAGATATAAAAAAGCTGTGTATGAGGTTCTATCTGAGTTTGATGCAAGTTAGTGTAATTGCTTATTTAGGTTAAATTAAATTTTTTACATCTATGTATTATCTATATATGTGTATGTGTATGTGCGTGTATGAATATGTTTGTATATATGTGTGTATGTATATGCGTGCACATGTACATGCATATGTGTAAATTAGCTTGTTTTTCTCTGTATTTATTGGTGAACGGGTCGTTTTTAATAGAACATTATATTTTAATTTTTAATTGTTACGTACACAGACCCAGTGGTAATATGTGGATAACGGTGTTGATTGTATGATTATTAAGCTTAAATATAGTATTGTGTTTAATAATAAGATTATATTGTACAATTGTTTGTTATTCCTAATAAAGAAAAAAAGAGGTAATTGCCACCATGCTGTTTCTATTAAAATTCATTTAAAAATTGTACAAAAAAAATATTGTATAATGAAATATGTTTAAAAAAAAATCACGCTGTGTTTCTTGCTAGTTCTTACCAAGACAGAGGTATTTTCGGAACCAGCGATATATAAAAAATGGCTTTCTATAAATAATCTATTTTGAATAAAATTGAATTGAATTCATTCATTCATCATTCATATTTTATAGGACTTTGTTGTAAAATCTTTTATTCATTACCCCATTTAGTTGGTAGAGTAGAATAATCGTCCATACAGGGTTATTTTGCAATAACCGGCCAAATTAGAGAAGTTTCAGAATAAGTAATATAGGCAAATGCTGAAAAAAAATAATACAAAAAACCTCAAACATTCAATCCTTATTATCTTTTAAATTCAAAATGTATGGTTATGCATTATTTTAGCTGATTTTACCGTGCACGCACACATTCGTACGGGTTGATCGGTAGGCAAAAGCGTTGTTGCCCATAAATCACATTCAATTTAGGATAATTTCGAATAAAAGTGTTTGATATAATCTTTTTATATAAAATTCTGAATAATTTAATTGACTCTTCTCAACTTCTCTCAAAGGTATCGTTTATTGCTCGTGTTCGTCTTCCGGTGCGATCCTCACGTAAAACACCACTTTTTGTTCCTCCGCAGTTACATAAAAGATATACTCGTAATTCATTCTTATACCGTTCCACTGACATATATAATAAGCAATTTACTAATATCGACCTTTTTAATTCATCTCTCAATACCTTAAAACAGACAATAAAAAATAATTTAAGTAAGGTTTGCTAGTGAGTTGCATTTTTTTTTATTTTATTTTATTTTTTTTTTTTGAATTGATATTCTAATTTTAATTATGTTTATGTACTTAGTTTTTTTTTTTGTTATGTTAATAGTCACTATGTAGTGTTACCATGTAACTTTCTTTTAAATTATGTTTAAGTTTTCGGCACTGTAGGTCAATTTATAATAGATAAGTTTTAGTATTTTATTTCCTTAGTATACGACTGTTTGTTGCCAAAATAAATTAAAAAAAAAAAAAAAAAGTTCTTATTTACTCGTATTGTTAAACTGCAATAACGGTATGTCATTATTTATATATTTGAACTG